AGACTCCACATAGCCTCGGAATAGGACGTTAGGTCAAATATGGAGTCAGTCTCCTACTTGGAACCAAACACTAATCACACAAATATACAAAGCTATACAATAATATAATATTTCATTCATGCCACCAGATTATTCACACAGTAATTTATTTTGTTTTATGTGTGTGAAACGTCATCAATGAAAAACTCTGACTGAATTAAAAATCAGTAGGCAAGAAATCTGAAGTAAGCAGGTAGGCAACATACTCGGTACAGTTCAGTAAGAATCATTCCTAGTCACTACTGTACACCGCATGACATGTGAAATGCTCTTGCAGTAAACATCACTACACAACTCCACAGGAACACAATCAGAACAGAATTAATTCAGTCAATGAAGAGTTTAAACCAATAACATAAGCTATACGTTTTTACAAATTAACCCCAGATACCAGCACAAGCCTATTTATATTTGACTACATAAAATGTTTCACTTTAAGAATAGGTTAGAAGACAACACCATTTTCCAGAAGAGCATATTCACAACATTTTTTGTAACACGTCACACATATGATGAAAATGGTACTATGTCATGTACATATTGGGTACTTCAGCTACTCACCATCCAACTTTGCCCACAAGTTGTTCGTGTTGAAAAACTTAAAAGTCTTAATGGACTTGAATTCGTCTACATGTTCCTTTGGCACCTGCGCTATCTCAAGCAACCGCAACTTATTCTCATACTGGATAAGCGTACCACCCTGAGCAACACAAAGCACATGTTACCATCATGGCTGAAGTACAACATCCTTCGATGTTAAACTTATTTATGTATTTGCTCATTAGATTTCCTGTTGGCACACAACAAAACCATTTATGTCGGTAACTCTGCAAAATCTTCCCGATTGTTTTACATTGAGGTTCGTAATCTGTAATCTTCTTTTAATATTACGACAATAAAATCAAGGTGGATGCGATGGGAAGGACATGTAGCGTGCATGGGGGAGATGAGACACTGATTCAAGATTTTAGTTGTAAAGCATTAAAACCTAGGTATGTACAGAGTAAAAAAAATTTGGTCTTCATGAAAAACGATTATAGGGTGTTGAATGAATTCACGTGGCTCAGGATAGGGACCTGATAGTAGGTTCTTGTGAACACGACAATTCTAACACAAAATTTAGAAGATAAGTTTCTTCAACACACATTTTTCAACCACCCTGTGGTCAATGTTACAAATATGATAATTTTATGATTCTTCTTTCACAAATGAGTAAAACACTTTTCCTTTTACATTTTCCTCTCAAGACATATTTTTTAACACTGTACAACAATTTCTACTTAACCACAAATTATTTCTTACCTTAACATCAGCCCTTGTCTTATCAGTAACTTCCATGACAAATTCGGTTGAATTCTCTTCTGAGGGGTTCAAGAGAAGGTTCAATATGTTCAGGTCTACCGTGGCTCCAAGATTGTCAATGTTGGAGATGAAGCAGTACTCTCGTCCCTGCAACACGGCATTCATGACAATTTAAATGTTGTGATTTTTAAATATATACCTCAGAAAATGGACAACAGCCAACAAAATTTCAGTGCGAGCAAAAGATGACCTAAGACCAAACAAATGGAGGTGCATACACATCAAAAGTGTAGCAGAGTTAGAGAATATTCACGCACAAAATGCCATATAAAGGAGAATTTATCGTACATGCACCACTTGAGAGAAAGGGTTCGAGAAACTGTAAAACATCGACAAAAGCAGGAAATTTTGTTTGGTGCAGTTTACAGCAATGCATAGATAAAACGAAAGTAACAGCCAAACAGAAAACACAGTGCATGCTTCAGTACATGAAGCAATAATAATTTTGTGTGCATGCAAACTGAGTTCTAAAGCCTTAACATCTCATAGCATTCTGTGGTGGAACAGATAGTTTCAGGACACAGGAAGCACGACCCATTGTAAGGATAATGGGAGGCTGGCCACTAATGTGCTCAGCGGAAAGTGTTAAAATGAAAGCCAATAAAACTGCCGAACTGTCGTGGTGTTCGTCACATGAGGCGCAGGAATGGGGCAACACGCAGTGACGAAAATGCTGAAAATGTTTCCATATCATTTGCAATGCCTGCATGTACTGTGCGACTGCACAAATACTACAATGTGCACAAAGTACATTTTTCTTCCTGGTGTATCATTACAACTGTGTTGGTCTATGAAATCCCCTGTGCCTACTCACCGCTTGAATGAACTTGCGGAGAAGGCCCGAGTTCTTGAAGCTCTCATAAAAGTCACCATGACCTGGTGGGTACCACCTTTTAAGAGAAAGCAGCGGGTATAAAATGTCCAGGTAATCAAAAAGCTTGGCATTAACAGTATCTGTCAAAGCGTTGCATGTTTATAAAGGGCAAGTTTAAATCCGTAATAATGCATCATGAGGTACTCAGTTTCAATCTGATTCTTAAAGTTGTTATTGTTACTTACGCTTCCATGTCTGCATCAATGTTGCAGTTTTTGGCGACAGGGAGCAGGGACTCTCGGTTGATGCGAGGAAAGCAGCTCTGGTTGAATGTGTACATCTCAATCTGCAGCCCCTTGTACTTCCGGATGATCTTCTGAGTGTCCTCGTCAGTATTGAATGAGTTCATTAGCACGAGCGGCACGTTCGTTTTGTAGGTCTTATTCAAGTGCTGCAACAGTCCACCCACACACACACATACAAAGTCAAAGCTAAGGACAAATAAGTGGGATAGTCATTAGTCACAGTTAGTCACCAGCTTCTCACCACAGAGGCCTGGCTTCATGCCCAGGGTAGTCCATGTGAAATTTGCTCTGTATTCACACATATATAATATGAGGGACGCACAATGGGCCCATAAGCAGCCCATTTCCACCAAGACATAGTTTCACAACATTTCAACAATAATAACAATAGCTCATGAGATAACGATGTAGCACAATGAAGAAAATTACATAATAAGAAATTTCACCCAGAACTGTTAGCATAACGAAATCAAGGAGTATTAGATGGGTGAAATATTTAGCAGAACTGGGAGTATCAAAATGCTAATGAAATTTTAGCTTAAAAACCTGACAACAGGAGACCAGGCATGAGAAAATATGAAGATGTATAAATAAAAATGTTAAAACGCAAACTGGAGTGAACTATCACAGGATACAGTCCTATGGAAAGATTTTCTAAAAGTACAGATCAAACGTAAGGTTTTGTAAAATCATGCAGTTACTTCATAGGATTTGGGGTTCTCAAGGTGGCAAGTATGAAGATGGTTGTCTTCTACGTGGTGGCACCATGTAATCTGGTAGATGTTTTACCGATGCCCTCATTGCCACTTTGTGAAGTACCTCTGAAATGTCAGTAAACTTTTACCAGACTACACGGTGCCACCACGTAGAAGACAACCACCTTCGTGCACTTACACTGTTTATGTAAAATTTAAAGCTTTCGTGGTTACTAAATACAATGAATCCTTCAAAAGTAATCAGCTATGTGATAATGGAGTTAATGTGCCTCATTTATGAATCATCTCTTGGACTTTGCCCGTTGTTCCAGTTTCTTAAACTTGCATTGTTCCCAGAATTTGGCTTTATTTCCTTCATCAGGTAACCTAACCTCCAATCTTGGACTAGGTTTATCTAGAGTGGGGATCCAGCAGAACAGGGATTTGTTTGATCTGGGTAAATTTTGAAAAAATTGCAGGTACTTGCTAAAAAAAACTATCAGTTACACCGTGTTCTCACATAACAATGTATGAAAAAAACATATTTAACACCATACACTCCCACAATTTCTGTGCATTTTCATGAGCTCAGTAACACGAAAGTATGCAAAACCAACGTGTGCGTAGAACTCTGGCCATATAGCAGACAGAAGCATGAAGAGAGAAATACTGCCATTAAACATTTGGCATTACTTACTTCAATCTGTTGTACAGTAAGATCGAGGAACGTGAGGTCACTACGGACTGGGATGACAGACTTGGGCCCATGGCACCCCATAGAAGTGCCCAAACCACCATTGAGTTTCACAACCACCAGTTTTTCCAGCATCAGGTGAATTTGGTCTGCTGAAGGTAACTGCAGTGTGCTGTAGTCCCGCACCTAAACACATTCATGTGTTTCAAGTTTTACAGCTTCATTTCTTGGTTTATTTAATGACATTATGTCAGCCACTTTGGTTCCAAAGAGTCAAATGAGATGTTTTACAGCATTTGCCTGTAGGAACTATGTAAAACTATAAAAAAATTCAGTGAGAAGACATGAAGCAAAGACCTCATGAACACTAAGCAGAAATTTCAACCACTGCACTGCTATACATACATCTTCAATTCCAGACAAGTCATTTCTTGAAGCAGGGTGGACACACTGTTCATAAAACAGAGTACATAAACCATCGCCAATGTTTCTGTGTGATGTCTCACATTCCGCATTCAGGTTAACATATTACTAAAATATTTTCTTTAATTAAATCTATAATTAGTGAGACATTTCACACTTCTTTTGCTTAAATAATCTTTCAATATCCATTTTAATTTTTTAATTTAATTCACATTCAAAACTCAACATGTTCATGCACGAGATGCAACCCAGACAAGAAGACAGAATACACAGAATAATGATAGAAAATGTACACGTCGGCTGCCAACTAACCGAGAACCAAAGGCTTACAGTGTGCAGTATTTAAAGCTGATTTATGCTGGAATTTAACGTCGTTGGACAGCACGGTCCCGTCATGACTTACGGCATTTTCCGGAAGCCTGTCGATGCGTTCCCAGTCAACGGACGGCCCCTCCTCCTGCAAGAAGCGATGAAAGAGTTGTGCAAAGCCGTCGAGCTCCTTCTTTACGGACGGCTGTCTCAAGTCAGGCACCGTGCTCAACAACTTGTCCAACTCATGCTGCAGCTGGATCTGTGCATCTCGCTTGGTCAGCTCCTTAAACTCTCGGGAGCCAGATGGAACCCTCTGGTGACCTCGCACCTACAACAACCAGATGAATGCAGTCATTTGTCAAACCATTGCAAAGCTACATATCATACCTTTCAGCTGTGCTTATGTATTAGTTTATTTAATGACACCTTTTCAGCTGCACAAGTCATGTGGTGTCAAATATGAAAATATATATAAATGGCAAATTGGCAAGGCTATGGGAGTTAGTGGTAAGGTATTATCTCTGCATTTGTGTGAAGGGACTGAGGAAACTCTTAGTGAAAATAGGTGGTCTCTGGGCCAAGAATTGAACCCTGGACCTCCCAAATATGAAGTGCTGCTTTCAGCATAAACAATGTATGGCACTGTATCAACTGCTGATGTTATATGAGTGTTAAACTTTACTTTTCATTCTAAGTAATCAGTGGCATCCAAGAACAAAATGTTCAAAAGGGCATCTGGATACAGAAAGACATCAAGTACATAAGAATGGGAAAAATTACATATGAAGGAACTTCACAGTTTTGCACTCTTTATTAGGGAAATTAGATTAAGGAGAATGAACAGTTGGTATATATAGCACACATTGGGGGGGGAAAATTATACAAAATTTCAGGAAGAATATATTAGGGGGAGAGACACTTTACAGTTTCAGACATACACAGAAGAATAATGTTTAAGAAAATTTTACAGAAATAAAATGTGAGGATGTGAAATGGGAACCCTGTTTTAAATCTGTGTTTCTACATTAACGTGACAGACCAAGTTAGACGCCCGTACAAAACTACAGGTAAAAATATTATAGTTTTATATATTTTAATACTTGCAGTTTGAGATGGCAGGCAGGAAGGTAAAAGATTCTGAACTGCATGGTAGCCAGTGTTACCTCAATTGAATCTAATCTTTATTATCTAAAATTCATTTTAATTTCACCTACACATCTAAATCTAAGAGACAAAAATAAATAAGTGTTTTGTTTCTGTTAATTTCGTGGACAAAATTTCCACGGTTATAGGCAATATTATTTTAAACACAAATGGAAAGGCGTGCTCTTATGCTGAGGATACACGTTTTCAAAACCCATTCCTTGAAAATTTGCAAAGTTCACGGACATTGATTCTCATTTCTTTGAAACAGAAGTACATCGTAAGATCTGAGGTTTTCACAGAGGTGAGTATGAAGGTTTCTGTCTTCTGGGTTCTTTGAAATAAAGCACCGAAATTGCACTTCACAAATTTCAACAACAATTTTCCTTGTTTTCTTTTCAAGATATTCACCATATCGGGGGAAAAAAAGATTCAGATCTTAATGAGATCCACGTTTCGCGTCACGTACCGATTTTTCAACAATAAACAGCTTATGAAAAATCTGCGACGTTCTGTCCATTTTAAATTTTAATAACTCTGCATTGTGCCCACAAAGTGTGGTTTTCGTATGAATCTCATAATAATCAATGATCCTTTCCCGAAATAGCGTTGACCAATTGATCTTTGTAATGCAGATAGGAATTAAATGTTTAAATATTAATCAGATAAACTTCGTCCTTCGAAGAGTTGGAGTAGAGGTCACATCTGACTGATGTAATTCTAAATTAAACAAGCCTGCCAACTTTCAGTAAAGACTCACAACACCGAATTCACTCATACCATTACTCTGCGTAAGAACGAATACAAATCGAGACAATTTAAGTTTAACGATCATCTATACACGAGTGGTAAACGTTTATTATTGCACATTTAATTATCTAAAATCTCAAAATCTATATCTATAAATAAAAATACCTTCAGCAGGTGAGGGTTATCTGCTGTATAATTTATATCAGCAACATTAACACCTGTCCAGCCATTTCTCACAACAAGAGCAGGGCGTTCATGAGACTCTTGTTTCTGCTTGTGTAGCACCATCTTCGTTACGACAATTTTTAAACAGCCTGTACCTTTTCAATAAGATCTGCACCTAACAAAACGTCAATTACGAATGTATCTTAAGTGCAAATTTCGTTCCTCTTACTTACTGGGCCCAGACCAGTAGATCCAAAACCTTTATCCACGTATTTCAAAATAACTATAAGCAATGAAGGGAACAGAAATATCCCAATTTTAATACAATAACTACATAAACGAAATGCGAAGCCACAGACTTCACATCTATCACGACAAAATCTTAACTCCTACAACTTCCTGCAAGAACAGCACTTGAACTGAATAAAAGTATCAGATAATTATGATACGAATCTGAGATTATTAGGAATAAATTATGTTTAAATCAACTCCTGAAACAGTGAACTCTAAGATTAAAAAATTCAAGAACACTGTTTACACAGTATCACAAACAAATAAAAAAAAAACTGTATGTATCAATGAAGATGTCGATACACGTTTCGCCACTTCATACGAACGTCAGCAGATATAAAAGTGTCCCACGAATAAAACTGCAGAATGCGTTGCTATCCGTCCATGCCACAGGGAAAACGTCCTCTTTCGAACACTTGATTAACACTATCGACTGCTTCGGGACGCTTATCTTCTGGCTCTGGCTCGGCAGTCGCATGGAACCGAAGGAACATGA